AACTGGGCGGAACAGTGTGTCCAGAGGAGAGAAATAGGACTGGCATGAAGAAGTTCAATCGGATGATGCTTCAACTTTAAAAATAATCTACAAATCCCATCTTTTTGACAAATGAGGAAATAATTACACTTTGTTGGAGTGATGGTTACACAGGCAGACACACTTATCAAAACTCACCTAATTATAACTTCAGATGTGTATTTCACTATCTCCAAGTTTAACATAAATATTTTTTAAAGGAAGGGACTACTTCATGAGATAATGAACTGCAGTCAGAGAGGTAATGATAACGTGCTGGAAATAAGATTCCTGAATTAAATGAAGAGGTGATACTGAACAGTATCTTAAAATTCTTCCAAACTTAAGACTTTATAGTATTTTCATAAGGATATACAGAAGAGCATGTGAGGTCAATTCTAGATTCAAAACGTAGTTGCTCTTTATAGCCATAGTCTCTACAAATATGTCATGAGTACCCCAGTAAGTTACCTTATGAGTGTATTTCAAGTGAGAAGAGAGGAGTCAGTGGTGAACTTTTAGAGTGTCACTTGTCAAACTAGCAAGTCATTTCCCTAGGCCTTCTAGTACATTTCCCAAATCAATTGCATTGGTCAAAAAACTAGTTCTCAGCCAAGGCCTAGCCCTTATGGTAAATAGTATGGTGGTCTGAAAACACTAAAAATAGATCTATCCAGCAATTCAACTCCTAGGTATGCCCCATGAAGAAAGCAAAAGCACTAAAACAAAGGGATACACGCACTCCTATGGTCATTGCAGTCCCATTTACAATAGTCAAGTTATGAAAAAACCTATGTGCCCAGGGAGAGAGGAGTAGATTAGAAACATGTGGTCTATACACACAATGGAATACTACTTAGCTATAAAGAAAAGGTGAACTCTCGTCCCATGTGACAACATGAATAGAACCGGAAGGGATGGTGCTAAGTGAAGTTAAGTTAGAAGAAGAAAGGCAAATACTGGATGGTTTCACTCATATGTTGAACACAGAGACACAGAACAAAGGGTCTGCTAACATCAAACCACTAACAAATCCTGGACTAGATCTAACAGCAAAACTGAGGCAGTGAGAAAGGGAAGGGAGGCAAAGAGGGAGAAGAAAAGAGAGGAGGCCCAGTGGAGAATAATGGGGGATTTCTGGGGCTGTGGTGGCCGGTGTGGTATGAAACCATACATTTGTAGAGGTTTCAATCTATAACCCCTAAAATACAGTATTGTAAATCAACATTACCTGCTGCACCTTTCCCTGCAGTGACCTTTAGGGCTAACCGGCCCTAGGTCCGGCTGGGCAACCAGCGCGCAGGGGAAGAACAGCAAAACCCTACCTGCTGCACCTCCCCCGCAGTGATCTTTAGGAATGGCTTTCGCCCACGGTCCCTAGATCCGGCTGGGCAACCAGCGCAGGGGGGGGGGGGGGGGGAACAGCCTGAAGCAGAGGAAGTGCAATGGAAATGGAAGTTCCCTGAAAAGGCAGAAGCTTATCAATAGATAACGACCACCAAGAACCACTACAAAAATGTTAAAAATCTTTTCCCCGTCTTTCTAGAACTACAAACTTTAATCCCTTATTTGTCTTTCTAAACTTCCTTCTTTCTTCCATAATGGTCATTGCTTGTTATGTAGATCACCTCCCTGATAGTGGTAGACTGATCCCATGAGCAAACTAATTTCCTTGATATTCATTCCTGTGCTTTTGGAAAACATATATATACTGGTCACAAATTTAGAGAAAATTACACTCAGATTTTCACTTTTGAAGTGTGTCTGTCATTTCTTTCACCGACGCCCTGACCACCCTGCACGCTTCTCTCAACCCTGAGGTGGCCTCATCGTCTACTGCCTACTGCTGTGCTGGTCCGCGGCAGTTGGCGCCCAACGTGGGGCCCCGACATTTCATTTCATTGTGTCTTCCACCCAAAGAAGAGGTGAGTAATGAAGAGATCGTGTTGGGTAAGCTGAAGAAAAACCTTTACTATTTCTAAAAAAAAAAAAACTTTCCAAGGGGATCAGACCCATTGGAACTGGATATTCCAGTGAGTGCATTATTCTTATAGCACAGAGGAAAATAAACTAAAATCAGTGTTGTCATGATTATGGAGTCAATAAGGGGTGTTTCAAGATTCAATTTCTAATGATACCTTTGGACAACTTAGCCTTCAATCAGGTGATGGTTCTTAGGAGCAATCTTGACTTGAATAAAGAATTACACATATATTTTACTAGTTGATTATGGACTAATATTTTAGTCTACCTTACAGGACAATCTCCCTTTCCAAATCTGCAGGCACTACTAAAGATGAAAATAGCTGGAAATATTACCTATAAAATATCCAGTGGGTACCTTGAATAGTTAGGAAACCTGTAACTCTAGATATGAATATAGGCCTTGTTTTCCTTTTTCTTTTCTTTTTTTTTTTTTTTAGGGTATTTGAAATGTGGAAATGAAAACTGAATGGTTAACGTGGAATCAGCAGAGACAGTTCTGGGATCATTTCCTACATGTAATCAAAAAATGGAAAATGCAAGTAAGGACAGCCCATTGCAGTAACTTCTGAATTCTATCCCCCTGCAGGGAAATGTGCCCACATTTAGTTTGCTTTCTTCACCTCCTTTGCATGTTCGTTCTCGTCAGCAGTGTTTGAATATCCATTAGCTGTTGCCTATGCCAGATTCTCTGTGTTTCACAATATGTTGGACTGTGAGCAATGCCAAGCTCCAACATGGACACAGGGGGTAAATGCTCCTGGAGATGGGAAGAGTTCTTCATTCTCACGTGTCAAAAATAGAAATGAAAAAAAATGAGTATTTGTTGAGTGCCTCACATATGACAGGCTCTATTTTAGACATTTTAATTTAGTTCAATCCTTATGTAATATATCTTATCAAATAATTACCCCCACTTTATAGAGGTAGGAATTGAGCTAAGAGAGATTACCTGACTAATGTATGGTTGCATAATTATTGAGTAACAAGGATGGAATTTAAACCCAATCTGTTTGATTTGAATACTTGCTTTCTATCCATATGCTGATCTTTTCTGCTATTCTGACAGTCTTACCATTTTATAACAGTAGCACATTTTCCTGATTAAGAGGGAAAAACCCAGTTCTCCTTCAACTCCCTGAAAGCCTTCTCCGGCACACATGGAAGACTCAGACATGCACGAAAGTGACCAGAATCATCAGCTACAACCATTCACCCTCTCCAACCACCCGAATTGCTTCATAATGAGATAGCTAAGCTGTAAAATGTAATTACATGGTATTGAACAAAATTCTAAAATGTAATTAGGCAACATTGGGTAAAATTCTGGGAACATCCTCAGCTGTGCCATGAAAACTGTACAAAAGCAAAGGAAGAACTAGATCCCAAGTGCCAGCTGGTACCTTTGAGGGAAGCTGCCTTCCTCGGCCACTTCTCCAGAGAGCTTCTCAAAGAAGGATGCCAAACCTGCAGGGGCTAAATCAAAGCTGGACTGCTTCAAGAAACACATCTAATAGGTCTCCCAGCGTCTGCAAAAGGATCATCCAGGAAATGCATGTATCCATTGCAGACGTCACTGAACACCCACCCAACGCTAGTGTTTGTTCTAGGCCTTACGCCCAAGATGAGTAAGAGACATTCCCTGAAGTAAAAAAATGCAAGAAGTCTTAATTCTCTTTTGCTAGTGTCAAGTATCCTGGATCTAGTATTGTGTGTGCTGAAATATACAGAAGTGAATTAAATAGACACAAATTCCTGTTCTCATGGGGTTGCCATTGTGGAGGGATACAGGAACAAATGAACAGAAGCAAAATATCTTGTCAGATGCAGGCTAAACAAGGGGAGAGGTGGTGATGTAACTGTACCTTTCCACAAAGGGAATGGAGATCAGAATCCTGGGAATGACCAGTGATCTAGGAACCTGGGACTTTGTGGGGAGACTGGCCTAAACAGACACAAAGGGCAAAATGAGTATTCCTGGTGGCCCTAGTGCTGACAAGGATACAAGGCTATGGATGTTGAGGGGTAAAATGCGGGGTCTTGTTGAGTATATACAAAGTTCTGGGCTTCTCTCTTCATACATGGTAAGGGGATGAAAAAGGACACTTTCATCTGGGAAAAAAACAGGGACTCTGGACTTCCATACTTGGTAAAAAACAAATTTTGATGAAGAATATAGAAAGATATTGCAAAATTGGATATAAATCTCTTAGTGTCCTGGCAGCAGGGATTTTGTTTTTTTCACTGCTATATTCATCACCAGCTAGAAAGATACCTGGCATAAGGTAGGAGGTCAAGGAAATCTGTTTAATGAATGAATTGATGAATAAATAAAATCAGTCTGGACAAATAGATTAATTCAGTAAGCCCAGAGGAGAGACCTCATTATAAGAAAATTTAAAATGTGCATAAATATTTATATACAAACACAATCACAATATTATATATGAATATCAAATTAGAAAGAGTCTAAATATTCAATCATTGATGAATGATTAAATGCATTGAGGTAGAGAATATCTACAAAGTTAAATGTGACTTCAAAATAACCTACTCAAAGATGATGTAATCTCTCCAGATGTTTTCCCCAGTTATTCTATTGGAAGATTTTACTTGTGCGTGTATAAGAGGATATGTATAGGGCGAATGGAAGGAGAGAAAATGAGGAATTAATAATGCGAGTTGGCCCATTCTTTCCAGATTCTTCCAATTACAACTAAAAAGTTCTGAGCATAACATAATAAATAGGCAGTGGAAGACTGAAATGTGGAGAGAAGGCAGGTTTCCTGAGGAGCTTGGGGCTCGAGGCATGACAGGGCAGTGAGTCCCCTGGGCTTCCTAATTATCATCTACACATCCCCAAGAGAGTTCCTAAAGCCTCCAGAACTGCCAATAGGCACACAAACTAAAACTGCTCCAAGAAAAATGTTATCCCTAACCAGAGGATAAGGAAATGGGTGGCTTAATGACAGAAAACTTTTTGGCAATACCTGCCCTACTTCAGTCAAATCCCACACGCTTCCGCCCTTCTGCTCATCTCCCCAGGTCCACAGGTCCAGAAAATGGCCAGCCAGGAAATGGCCTTCCACACACAGCACTACTGGCCTACAGAAGTAAGCAGAGGTGCTGATTTCTCCCGCCACTTGGCATGGATGGATAAATGGCCAGCAAATCTTTCATTCCCTACCTGCAAACAGGTGATGTTCTGATTCTCTGCTGGGTGGTATCAGCAAAGGTGAACAGAGAGCTGATCTTCTATATCCCATCTGGCAGAGGTAGACAGTCCTCCAATTTGTGTCAGGATAGTGTTCGCGAGGTCCAGCTGAGCCTCTTTTCCCACCTGGAATCAATGAAATTGACCAAGACTGTTTGAGATGGGGTTATTTAGCACTTCGCTCCCCTATCTCCCTGATAGAGGGACTCGGGGGGGGGGGCAGCTGATCCTATAACAATAGGGATAACCAATACAGCAATGTAAGTGTACCAGTTTTAATGGAGGAGTGTCAGTTGACCAAAGGTGTAGCTGAACTTTTATCCCACCTGTCTACATTGGGGCAAAGTAACACACCACTCAACTTGTGCTTGGATACTCTCCAAGATACAGACCCCGGTAGGAAATCAATGACACATACCTAGCAGGCCTTAACCCTACTCCTTAATAAGAAGACTGCCTGCTAAAAACAGAAGACAAATAGAATCCAGAAGTGAGGAGTACAATATTCAAAATGCCAAAGATACAAGTTTTAAAAATTAGTCATCATCTAAGAACCACAAAAATCATAGCATGAAAGGAAGAAAGTCAACAGATGCCACTTTCAAAATGAATCAGATACTGGGATTATCTGAAGAGGATTTTAAAGCAGCCATCATAAAAATGCTCCAAAAAAGAAGTACAAATTCTCTTGAAACAAAAAAAAGAAAACCTCAGTTAAAGAAATAGAAGTTATAGAAAAGAACCAAATGGAAATTGTAGAACTTAAGAATAAAATCACCAAAATAATGACACATGAGATAGGCTCAACAGTAGAGTGGAAAAGAGGTTGTAGGGTAAGGGAAAATGTCAGGCTTTTCTCCATCAGGATAGATGATGGATCCTTGTGGTCCTGAATGCATGCCTGATGGCGGACACCTGGAGTAGGGTGTGAGCCTAGGTAGATGGGATTCACCTGGGCTAAGACTGGGTTTTTAAGGGCGGTATCACGGGGACGCCAGGAGACGCCAAGAACGAACAGAAGCCGAGAGAAGGCCAGAGAGCCCAGAGTGAAGACCTGCTGGGGGCCGGGAGGCCTGCCAGCCTCCTGGCCCCCCAGCACCCCTGCCTGCTGTGTACCTGGTAATCCCAATAAAAGACTGCAAAACCACTGAGGACTCTGACTCCTCCTTTACCCGGTCTGCTGGATCATAGAAAACCTGCCCCTACAGGTTTTCCTGCCCCTACAGAGGTTAAATCAGAGAATTTGTAGATCAATACAACGAACCCAACCTGAGCAACAGAGATAAAATATACAGAAAAAATATGATAGAGTCTTAGAGACCTGTGGGACAATAACAAAGGAGTTAACATTCATATGATCAGTCTAACAGAGATGAGAGACCAAAACAAAAAAAGAAGAGCCAAGTAAATCCAAGCCAAGAAAACTCAAAGAAATAGAGTGGAAATAAATGAAATTCAAAGCAGTTAAAAAAAAAAAATCAATGATACAAAAAGTTAATTCTTAAAAAAAAAAACAACCAGAACTGGCAAAGATAAAAAGTAAACTGAAATCATGAATCACATACCTGTTTGAATGGATCAAATTTAAAAAAAAAAAAGCCCCACCACCAAACACTGGCAGAGGGCACAGAAACCATCATGGCGCACGACCACTCTTGCTGGTGGGAACGATGTGGCCCAGCCACTCTGGCAAACGGTTTGACAGTTTCTTATAAAACCAAACAATTTATATAAACCCAGCCTTGTTGGGCATTTATGATGAAAAAATGATGACATATAAACCCATGCAAAAAGAGTTCATAGAGGCTTTATGTGTAATCATCCATAACTGGAAACAACCTTGGTGTCCTTCAATGGATGAAGAGAGAACAATCTGTGGTCCATTCATACCATGAAATATCAACCCTCCTCTTCAACAGAACACAGTGAACTGCTAACACACACAACACCTGCATGGATTGCCAAGGAAATGGGATGAGCAAGAAAAGGTCAACTGCACAGTGTGCAACTCCACTTATATAACATTTTGGAAATGACAAAAGTTTAGAAATGGTAACAGATGAATGGTTGCCAGCTGTCCGAGACTGAGACTGAGGGTGTGGGCTGGGAGAGGAGAAGGTGTCATTTTAAGAGGGCACGCAGAGGTGTGGGGGGATAGCAGTGGTCTGCGGTGGCAGATTCAGGAACCCACATGGGATAAAATGGAACTAGAAGGAATTATGCTCAGTGAAATTAATCAGAAGGACAAAGAAAAATATCAGATGGTTTCACTTATAGGAGGAATACAGGGAAACTAAATAAGACATCAGTATAAAAAAATAGTAATAGAAAACATAACAAAACAAAACCAGACAATTGTGAATCCAAGGCATCCTGCAAGGGAGGAGGAGGGAGAGGAATCAGAGGGAGCACAAGGGACTGTTGTGATGGTGCATGGGTACACTGGTGAAGAAAATTCTATGGGGACTATACCTGGGGGGGGGGGAGTAAATATTGTTTAAAAATGAACAATGATGTAAAAAATAAATTAAAAAGAAAAAAAAGAACAAATCCCCCCCTCACCAAAAAAAAAAGGTATACAGCTGAAAACACACATACCCACACAAGTGAGTCAATATAGAACCAGGGAAATCTCAATGAGATCCTGGTTGGGATACTGTGCTTAAATTTAGCAAGATGTTACTATTGGGAGAAAGCAGATTAAATATGGTCAGGATCTTTCTGTATTATTTTTTACAACTGCATGTAAATCTATAATTATCTCAAAATATGGTGGTTGTTGTTATTGTTGTTGTTTAAATAATGCTTCCAAGGAAAAAAAAAAAGGATTGGAGCAACAATGTTAAAAAAAAAAATGAGTAAAGAAAGCCAGCTAAGCTCACCAGGGACAGATGAGCGGATAAGAAATGGTGGCTTATGCACACAATGGAATACTACTCAGCTACAAAAATAGATGAAATTCTGCCATCTGCAATAACAATGGATGCACCTCATTGATATTATGTTAAATTAAATAAGTTAGACAAAGAAAGACAAATACCATATGATTTCATTCATATGTGAAGATTAAAAAAAAGAACAAAACAAAACATACTTTACGTTATAAAAACAATATAGTAGTTATTAGAAGGGAAGGGGAGGGAACTGCATAAATCTGTATGTTGATGGGTGGAAACTGGACTTTTGGTAAACATAATATAGTGTGCAGAGATGTTAATTTATAAGGCTGTACACCTGAAATCTACATAGTGTTCTAAGCCAGTGTTACTTCAAAAAAGAATCTGAGGAAAGGAAATTTTCTTTAATGCCACTGCCCAGGGTAAGATGAGCTTTGGACATCCTTAGTCATTCAGCTTGGGTTAAATAATGTAGAGCATACATTCATGTTCTGGAATATGCTTCACTTCCCTACACATTAGCCTAAGAACGCCAGCAGTTTCCAAGATAAAAGAGTAGACAGATGGTGTTATGGGGGAAAAAAATTCATAGACCTAAATAGGAAAAACCTGGCAAAGAAAGAATGTCACCAACCAAAATCAGAATTGTGTTTTAGTGAAACTGAAGATTTATTTTGCCTAGCACCCATGAAGGTTTACCTAGGAATTATGGAACTATGTTATGAAAAGTAAACATTTAGTTTGAAGATTCTTTAAAAAAAATAACTACACTTGGCCAAGGGATAAAAAAGCACAATAAAAAGTTAGACCTAGTACATAAATTAGTAGTTGTTTAAATTCAAGATGTGTGAAGAAAAGATTGTGTAAAATTCTAAATGAAATGGCAAATATTTTAATAATGCCATATAATTCCCAAATAGATAAGACATATACAACTATGTTATTTTAAACAAAACATTCAAGGAAAACAACATTCCACTTTTGGTTAGACACTAAACACCAAAAAGGCTTCTTACATCCAAGTGTCATGAATCTGAGAATTTTTTTTATTGGTACAATTTTAGCATTGTGAAATGCTTTTCACATTTCACTTACCGCATTTTGGGTTAATTCTAAATGAAAGTGAACAAGAAAAGGTCAGGAATAGAAAGTCTCTGAGAAGCAATTTATTCTCACCTTTTCTTTGTATGTTTTTGAAACTAGTAATATGCATGTAGATAAAGATGTCAAAATTTTAACCCACAAGCCAAATCCAGGGAGTCCTCACAGACAACTTCCCCCAGTACTTAAAAACTTGCTTTGCGGGGATGTATAATATTAAAATATCATCTGATCCCTTCCAGTGCCATCCATGTTGCTGCAAATTGCATGTGTTTATCTTTTTTGAATGCTGAGTAATATTCCATGGTATATATGTACCACATCTTCTTGATCCAGTCATCTATTTTTGGGCATTTGGGTTGTTTCCAAAGCTTAGCTATTGTAAACAGTGCTGCTATAAACATAGGGGTGCAGGTGCTCTTGGGATCATGCTCAGCGAAATAAGCCAAAAAGAAAAAGAAAAATACCGGATGGTCTCACTCATAGCAGGAATCTAGAAAACTTAAATAAGGGACCAGGAAAATGAATATAAGAAAGTGAAAATCAAAATTAACAAAAAACTATGAACCAGAGACACTTTTTGGGGGGCGGGAGGGGAAGGATTGGGGTCAGAATGGGGCGTTTGCAATTGTATGGGGGAATATAAAAATAAAATTTAATATTAAAAAAACAAAAATAAAATAAAATATCATCTGGACCTGGGTCCTCATTTACCTTTGACAGGTAGCTTTTTGAAATGCCAATTATTGTTATGACTCAAAAGTCTAAGAGCTCAGCCTAACTGTTCCATGTAAGAATGGTAACAGCCGGTAGTAAACAGTGTGAAAAGACATTAGCAGAAAAAACACTTTACACTGGCAACTCTCAACTCTGACACCTTTTTAAAATTCTAAAGAAAGCTGTGAATCAACTATCCACTTAGAATTCATGCTTATTCAGTTCTGCCTGCAGGTAAATAATGCTATTTATGAACAGAAACATAAAACCAAATTACAATCGGCATAAAAGTTGAATTTTTTTTAAATAATTAAACAACTTGATCCTATACCTCTTATCTCAATGTTACCTAAAGGGCAATGGAAAAACAAACAAACCATATTGATTGCCCACTTATGATGAAAAAGCACC